TAGTATAGTATTAAATTGAAAATGAATTTTGAGTATGATGAATTTATAGAAAGTCGACTAAGCCGATCTTTGAAAAAATTGATTGACTTAGCCGACTAAGTCGACTAATGTGCTATCGACTACAAACACTACCGTAGGTCGACTATATTAATTAGACAATATTCTTTTATTTCGAAATAACGCACATGGGCGTATTCGAAATAACGCGCAGGTCAAATTAATTAACTCACGTACGCAAAAGTGTGCGCATGTAAAAAAATAAACACTGAGATGGACGTTATTTCGCGCTTATACGGTAACAGTAATATGATAGAAACCTATCGACTCGCAGCTCCACGATCGGTTCCAAAGTTTGAGCCGAGCCGTTTTTAGAGCCGATGCTTTATTAGCGTTAGTAGGCCTGGAGCTGAGCCGTTAACCGGCTCGGCTCGAGTCGTTCGCATCACTAGCGACGTAGCGACGGGGACCACATAGATTTGCATATACAGTATCTGTATATTGATTGATATATCGGAAACTTAATCGACACCACGCGGGTGTACATATGTAAATAAATTGTAATAAACAAATAATGATGTCTCGGTAAATTTAATTTTCGGCCGAAAATTATATTATTGTAACTCATTTTTATCCGAAAATTTTTTGTCAATAAAAAATACAAGCCGACAAACATCCCCAAACTTTATATGGCCTGCCCATTTCTTGCATAGAGCAGGGTCCTACTATAATGGGGGTGGTCTAAAAAATAAGCATTGGTAAAATGCTCTGGCAAGTGAAAGATGTTTAATTTCCTTTTAAGAGTTTGTATTACCTGCATGGTTAGTAAACCCATGGACCCTAATTTCTTTTACGGAAAATGATTTAAAAAAAATGCATCTGAATTTCATTGAATATTTTATCTTTGCTTGTAAAAAAAGTAAAAATGAGTCAAATTTTCGTTAGTTTAGGCCTTTTTATATTGCTAGGACTTTTATTTTTCAGTTTTCCCAAAGAATTTGGTGATGCGCCTCAGCAAGATATTTCGCGCTTTACAGGATATGAAGCATGGCATCCTAAAGTAATCGGTCAGTATATATGACCATATGTTTATTTAATGGTGAGAGAAAGGAAATCTGATAATTTTGCAACCTCATTTCGTCATTTCATCATATAGGTTACAGTTTCCAAATGTCAGATGCGATGACTTTTTTTGCTTTTATTACGACGGGAGCTGCCGCTTATCTGTCACTAAAATGGACCGAAAAGCCGCCACCTAACAAAAGATATGCTTCGCACTTAATAAAAAATGGTGTTAAAGTGTCCACATTAGCATTCAATCGAGTCATTGCATACTACATTGCAATAACCTTTATCTGTGTGGCCGCCTATATGATACTGGATGTTGGCAAATTATGGTCTGCAACTGGTGTTTTACATAATGTATTTGAAATTGCGATTATGTTGATATTAAATTTCGGTGGTAAAATCAAGTCTCATGCGGTATTTTTCTGGGCGGGAGTTTACGTTTCGATAGTTTTTTCCTTGAATATATGGCTCAAATGGCCACAAGATGCACTTTGGTTCAAATTTCAAGGTGTGCAGTTTATCTAATATATTGCAAAGGACTTGAATGTAATTTAATTAAGTTTTTTTTTTAAAAGGCCTTTGTCTCGACTACTCATTGATTGTATTGTTCGTACGATTGTATTTTACAACACGTAAAAAGCTCCGCGACGATGGATCTGAAATTCCTCTTACCGAAGACGATATAATCCAAACAGAACAAGCAACAGGGCTTGATTGTGACTTTTATCCAAATACTGTCCATCATCCTTATCAACTTTGGTTATTAATTTTAGCGTCGGTCGCTCACCTTATTGGTAACATTGGTAATTCTATTTGGGTGGATAGTGGTTTAGCGTAAGTATGAAGTTAAAACTTGCACGTATGAATTCTGTGCCAGGTTATGCAGATCCTATAATAAATTCAAAAGTTTTTTAAAACTTCTGGCGATGATTTCTCAATACCGTATAAGCGCGAAATAACGCGCAGGGGTGTAATTTCGAACTTTGCCTAAATGCCATTATTCCCTGCGCGTTATTTCGCGCCTATACGGTAGTTACTTGACCAAATTTAATAAAATTTTTTTTATTTTAATTCTATAACTTTGTAGAATTAAAATAAAAAAAAAGTTCATTAAATTCGGTTCAATAGATATCGAGAAATCATCGCTAAAAGTTTTAAGAAAACCTAAATATCTTAAAAAAACCCCCAATTTTTCCTTTAAACTTTAAACAAAAATTTCTCAACAACCAACTACTCAAATTTGATGAGCTTTTTTTATTTTGATTCTTGAGTTCATAAAATAAAATAAAAAAAAATTGATCGAATTTGAATGGCAGGTTGCCGAGAAATATTATTAAAAGTTAAAAAAATATTTGGTCGCAGCTTCTTTTTTTAAGACATCTAAACTTGAACGAAGATTACTTAGCACTTACCAGGTCAAATTCGATCAAATTTTTTTATTTTAATTCTACGAGTTTATAGAACTAAAATAAAAAATTTTGATCGAATTTGATCAGGTAAGTGCCGAGTACGTGCTTAAAACTTAGTCATGTGAAGTTTATATAAATACATTAATACTAAATATGCATGTATAAAATTTTATATTTTTTAGGTTTTTTGTGTTTCATGCAAGTTATATTATTACCTTCATTCTATACGCTTACTACATATACATAGATACGCATTGTGCTGGAACTTCACCAAAACGAATTTATATATTTGATACCTCTCGATACAAGGTTGCTTCGTGCGTGATTCTTGCGTTTCTTCTTTCGTTAGCGACAATTCGATTTGCTGTATTTATTCAGACAAGCTAAAATTAGATATACAAATTTGTAAAAATCTATTACTAACATTTCAGAAAATTTTTGCTGAGTTACTTACAATCATTAGTAGAGTTCGGAATAATTCGTAAATGTTGGTACATAAAAATAGTTTACAAAAATGCTATATCTTTTTTTTAACATTTATTAATTTACAATATTGTTCTTTTTTGTCTTTAAGAATAAAAACTTGGTTTATTTAAATTTAAAACTAAACTGATAGTATACTTTCAAACTTTGTTTATTTTATTAAAATTTATTTGCAGTTCATGTAATATACATACAGTACTTGTATTAATCTCGTTTGGAAATATTTATTAATTTAGCAACTTCCCATTAACAGATAATCATTAGAAAGTCTCAAACTCTTATCTTTTTAAAAAAGTTATATACAGTAGTATATATATATAACAGCGACTCCTCAGAAACAGATAAAATAAAGCCGTTACTATTATAACTTTTTTAAACAGATAAGAATTAAAGATACATATTAACAAAATAAAAAAAAAAACTTTTTAACAATAGAGTCCTAAACAGTGTTTAAAATCTATATGCGGAATCTGCGGTGCGCAGATTGAAAATTAATTCCGCAAGTAAATTTTCCTTTGAATCTGCGGATTTTATTATGTGTCATAAAGCTCACGCGTCTTTTGTTAAAAATTTTTATTATGTTTACAGGAATTATCAAGCTTTCCGCACATTGAAACAAAATCTAATTTTAAACACTGGTGAGGAGCCGGGTACTATATGTAGGGATATATCATATGAAAGTAATAAATTGAATATAGTTATACCCCAGCAGATGAGCGATGAATATTACCGGGTCTTTATCACGGGTACTATTCATTGGGAATACTTTATACAGTGTCGGACGGTATTTATATAATTCCGGATCAGCCCAAATCTGAGATCTGGGCAATAAGCGAGAGAAAGAATAAGAACCAGTGAATAAATTTCCACTTTTATACTGTATAATGTGACGATAGAATATATGTATACAAAAATACCATTCCTGATAGAAATCCAAAACTACATTATTGTCGAAATATAAAGCTATGGCATAAAAATTTGGTAGTCCATTATTACTGTCCAACCCGATTATAAGATCAACACGTAACATAAAGGTCAAAAAAAATAATCGGATAGAAATTAACTTTCGAACGTTTAGTAAAGTTTTCAACCCAAATACCTTAAGAACCCGTTACGTAAATCGCTACAGATGGTATTTTTGCTATATATACCTATTTTCTTCATACAAGTTAAACAGTTTTCAGTATATCAAATTTAAAAGTCTAGAATAATTAAATGTAAAATGACCCATTCTAATAAAAATTTATATCCAAATTTTATTGATACCCAAATAAAATTTTCAATATGATATCCGACATGTACATTATAACAGATAACACGCGATCTTGATTCAATATGTCAACTGCAAAATCTTCAAATTCTCTTGATAAAGAAATTGGAAAGTTGTGCCTTCAAAATTCTGATGAACTTCTGTTCAAATCCTTTATGGCCACAAAAGTAACCATCGATAATTTCATATGTCTGGTAATGTACATTTTTACAAGTCCATAAAAAAATTAGTGCAATATTTAAATAATGATAAAAATTTTTTTTTAATAGAATAAAAAAATTAATTCGTTTTTATTATTAATTCTTGTACTGTGTATAAATTAACCCTTATACAGAACTTATACTTTCCCTCCCTAGCGAACAAACTTCTAACTGATGATATCAAAACTACAATCAAACACGCTCATAATATCGACAACTGGTTCCACCAAAATCGCATCAGCAATGGTATACACCAAAACTGAGAGTGCTATAGCCACTTACATACAATTGCCAACCTCCACCGATCCACGAACCCCAACAAAGCAAAAATCAAAAACTTTAAAACAAAGCTACTAATGAATGAATTACCAACCTTCCAAAATCTATACAATAGAACCCAAGAAAATACACCAATCCTACATGCTGAAGATGCCAAACAACAGCAGAAGATGATTAGCTTACTTGTCTCAAAAACACGACACCACTCTCAAACATAATCGAAAATGCAATAACTGAAGTAGCAACAAAAAATAACCACCCTACTCAACAACCTACTTAGAGATAGTTCTTATACATTATCAGCTAATAGGCTCAGAGTTTATCACTCGCCATGGGGCCGGCACTTGTTAACCAGAGGTAGTTCTCACAGGCTCAGGGTTTATCATCTACCAAAAAGAAAACAGCCATGCGCTTGGCTTTACGTATTTTATTACTTTTGGAGAAAAATATACTCTCTTTTAAACGTGGAACGAGGTATTATCACCCACTTGCTCTTTCAACAAAATTTTCGAAAGACATGGGCAAAACAGCGTACCCCATTGGCATTATTACTGAAACCACATTCTTTCCATCCCAATCTAAAGCAACGGCAACCAGTCTAGCACCGATCCTATCATGCAACAAATCAACCATTTAATATGGAGGAAAGGAGGGCGTTTTTAGGTGCGATCGAGGAGTCAGGTCACATAAACTACGACGACTATGACTCCTTGATCCTCAATAAAAATAAATGTGATCTTTTTTTTTATTTGTTAACATTGTATACTCAAATTATTATACATTTTTTTCTTTATTTACAATATTATTATTCACAAAGGGTGCCAATTGCCGAAATCGGTGATCGAACAGAAAATGAATTAAGCAGAATCGAATCACAACATCAATCCCTCCTCAAAACAATAGTATAGTAAATAGCACCACCAACCTCAATCCTCCACTCGACTATGACATAGTAATTTCCCCTCTTGGATAAATAGCTACATAGACTTCAACACCCGCTCCCTTTCTATACTTAACACATAGACTAGAGGTCTCTGACCTATCTAGCTAAGATTTAGGTCTGAAGTAAACCAGCTCAACCCCATTTCCCCTAAATAATATGTAAATTAGCAAATTGAATTTGTAACAACTCATAATATTAATAAAAAATTCTTGTGACTTCTACTGGAAAACAAAAGCTGGTACAAAAAAAAAAAAAAACCAGCATGTTTAGTACAGTATTATTGGTCTAGTGTCAGAAGGTAATGATCTCAGAAAAAAATGGTTCGTTAATAGTATCAGTTTTACGAATCTTACGCAGAACATTACTACTGTTGTAAGCACCAAGTACAGATGTAATTATCACTCTGGTGTTATATTTACCCAATTCTTATTGACATTTTCCATAATTCCCCGAGTTCACTACTCTACCGTAAAGAATAATGAATTATAGAAGTCGGTTTAATTTGGAAAGCATTTGATGAAAAAGTTTACTGTCATTTTCCACAATCAACAACAATTGCCTTGATAATTTTACATCGGAAAAATCACATTTAAACTTCCATGGTTATAAGCAGCATGATTTAAAGTCATCAATCTATATATAATGAAAATAAAACATTACTTTTACCGTTAATTTAAAATTGCCAACATTATACAGTATGTTTTTTTTTTTTATTTAGATAAAATTACTATAACTAAATCATATTACTAAAGCCATTCCCTACAATAAAATTATTATTAATACAGAAAAATTAGAGTGGGGATTTTTTGTAAAATACTGTTTTTTTTTTTGTTTTTTTTTTTTACCTACTCCAATAAAGTTAGAATAGGAATTGATAAATGGATTATGTGAAAAATCAGAATGTGAAATGTTCTTTTATCTTATTGATAAAGATTTTTTTTTCGTCTTTATACATACAGAATATATGAAGTTATTATTTAACTAAATGAAAGTGCATTCTATAGTGGAAATGTCATCATTAATGACTGATATATATGTATGATGGGAATGGATAGAATTATAGAGATAGTAAAAAAGATTATAGGTTAGTATCATATTTTTTTGAAAGAAATGGTAATAATAAAAATAGTAATGCAAACATAATCCCACAGAAGCATATCTTTTAATAAACCAATGTCCAAGAATAATGTGCATCGAATAAAAAGGAATTTGTTAATTACTTTAATTATTTTGCCGATCTTGATATTACGAACACGCCTATAATTGCAATAGCGAGCGTAAGAAGGGCGCCAGGCAATAACAAATCTTGTGGAAGAGAAAAACTATATTCCTGTTTCTTGCTACGTCTTTTTGGTTTCCCCCGCCCCCGTATATCTTCATCGTCATCATCATCATCATCATCATCAACTTCAACATTTCGTGGTTTTGACGGTACTTGGAGTTCTTGTATGTGCAAAATTACACGTGTTAGACCTTGTCTTTGAGCAATTTGCACAGCATCAGCAACATCATCATCATTTGACATTGCAACATGATCATCATCATCGTCCACATAAGAAATAGAAAAATCCTTAATACTAGGAGGAAGCTTAGAAGCAACCATTGAACGAATATTTTCAAAGCTAGTATAATCAACAGTGAAACGATGAGATTTTCCATTTGGAGCTTTAAACTTAAAAGTGAAATGATTTTCATCATGTCCTCTAGGGAATGAAGCCAAAGACCCGTCATCGACAGCCGAGGCAGATTCACCAGGATGGATTTCAGGAATAGGAGAAACATGCCCGGAATTACGCATGCGTGAATTCGGCGATGGTGGTGGAATATTTGAAGCACTCTGTGATGGAGCTATCGAATCAGATGCAACTGATTCATTATCATCATTAAGTGAATTCCAAAATTTATTCCACATTGGCCCGCTAGTATCATGGCCATTTTCATGGGTTTGTTTAGCATACATCTATTTAAAAAAAAAAAATTTAAATTAATAATATATAATAGAAAGTTATAGAAAAAATATTTTTGTATAATAAAGTACCTGTTCCATGGTAGCATAGGTCAATTTTAATACATCAACCATCCCTAAAATGCTGCTACCATCAACCACTGGTAGATTTAGATAATGACCGTCTATGTTAAAAAGAACAAAAAAAGGTAATTAGATTAATTATGTTACAATAAATAAAAAATTGATTGTTGATTCAACATAATTAAAGGAATTATTGATCAATTCACTTTATATATATTGTTAGAATCATGTAATTTATTATTCTCTCACGGGATGACAAAATTACGGTATAAATTTTAAATTGTAATTATGCTTTTATAGCGAGAGAGATATAATCACATAAACAAGTATGTAATTAATTACTTACCATACATTTTTTTTAGAGCTTCAAGAATGCTAGTATGAGGTGGGGCAGTATCAGGATGTGGAGTCATTACTTTGACAACACTACACGTTGAAGGATCCATACCAGCAGCTATGACTCTTAATACAATATCTTTACTTGTGAAAATACCAGCGATCAGATTGTGTTCCATAACTAAAACAGCAGTTGTGTGATATTCTCTCATTAGGCGAGCGGCATCTCTCACAGATGTTCTAACAGTGACTTCAGCCGGCATTGAACCGTCCAATATTGAAGATAAATCAGGACAAGCCATCGTCTCACGTAACACACTCATATATTGATGGATCGGCGTAGGTTGATTTGACCATTCCCTCTCTACGCCTTCAAGAGCGTCATATAATTTCTTGGAAGAACCATAAGCACGCTCCATTTTGTCTAAAGCCTCATACAAACATTTTGTTATATCAAGGAGACCTACAACATCGCCTTCTTCATTACATACAGGCTAGTACAAATAAATAATTATTAATATAATGATATAGTGAAAGATAAATTTATAATACAAATGAAATAGATTATCAAATATAATAATTACCAGATGCCTAAACCCACGGTGAACCATTGTATTGAGAGCATCGGTCGCTGATGCAGTATTTCTTACACACATTGGATTCCTCGTCATTATTTGTGCCACACTGGTAGTTCTTGCATCCAACCCATCACCAACTACTCTAAAGGCCAAATCTTTAGCAGTGAAAATACCCGACAAACGCTCATCACTATCAACCACTAGAACACAATCAGCACGTTTAGCAGCCATAAGTTGTGACGCTTCAAGAACCAAAGTACTCTCTCTAACAGTCAGTGGCTGGTAAGGCTTTAATGAATTTACGGTGCCATCAACTTTTTGCGATTGCTTCGTTGGCCTACGAGGATTTGAATTCTTTCTAGTATCAGTTTTTTTTCGAGAAAACTACAGAAAAGTTTGTCAAAAATTAGTAAACAGCCATTTTTTTTTTTTGTAAGAGGAACTGAAATCTCCAAAGTAAAACAAACCTCAGAAGCTGGTGAAGGAGGAGACGAACTTTTCCTGCTTCTAAATTGAGGCGAAGACATCTTGGTAGCGAGTGTGGGGTGGTGATATATTACAAAGAGTGTAAAAAAAAGATTTATTGGATAAAAAGAAATTGATATTCAAGTATTTATAGTATTTGTATTTATTTATTTTTATTAATAATTTTAGGTTCAGATATATATAATATATTTGGCATTTTCGGAAGGTTATCACTTGTCATGGTGATGTATAAAGTTCCTAAAGTTCCTTAATCCTGGTATTCTGGTATCGGTTTTTTTTGTTTCAAAAAAATTTTTTTATGTTATGTAATGACCTAGAACCATTTTTGATATCATCAACTATGTTAGCTATGTGGAGGCCACGTTTGAAGAATCCAAAACAAAAGTAAAATATTATTGGACCTTAATAATTAGAAATAATCATTTGAAATTGTAAGCAAAAAAATCGATAATGGAAAAAAATACAAGCTTCCTTGATCATCCCGAACGCCAATCTAATGAGTGGCCCGCCTTTTTCCACATATGACTCATAAGATGTATTTCTGGTACAGAAAAGCCGTTAATGCCCGATAGCCAATATAAACAATGATAGATATCAAACAGGTATATATATGTGAAGTGTTACACCTGTGTGGTTAAAAAAAATGGCTCCCCCGCCTAATACCAATGATCCACCTGAATATCAAGGTCCTCTTACAAAGATGGGATTGATTACAAATAATAAAAGATTTCGTGGCGATCGGCCATCTCCAGGGCCTCATAGATGCTATTTACATTACTTGGATATTTTTTATGGGTTGACATCAGATCCGATTGAATTTCGAGAACCTTGCATTACTTTCTGGAAATGTATAAGGAGTGAAGAAGGGTGTGTCATTTAAGAAAAAAAAACTTTATATATAGATATTGATTTTATTGATTATTAATTATTTGACTTTATACGAATTATCACAAATAGGAAAGAACCACCTCGTTGGCGATTCAAAGAACAATTACAACAAACTGAAAGTAAATAGGCAAACTTTGCTATTCAAATTTTTTTTTTACCAATTTTCTTCGATCTGACGCAATTTTGCATTTAAAGCACATGAACAGCCGAAGGACATCTGATAATAAAGAATTTTAGGAAAGAATTGTGTTACATAATGCTTGTACTATTGTACTAGCGAATTTCCATTTTGATTGGTTAATTTTAAAATTTTTAATTGACTAACAAAATTATAATAAACCATTAAAATAAGCGTTATATTTGTCGCAACCTTTTGCCAATTCATTCATTGCTGATAATTCAATTTTGTGACTGAAGTGAAATGCTACGTAATATTTGTAATATTTCACCTGATCGTCCAAAACTCGCTATGTACTCTTGTATTACTGCTTGTACGTACTTGCAAAAGTTAAAAGTTAATACTGGTGCTTTACGTACGTACAGTACGTATCTGATATATACATTGATTTAAATAATCTATTCCATCTAACAGTTTCGTATTAAAACGATATCTTTTGAAGATTGATTACCATACATAATTCCTATGAAAGATCATGTAATGCAATGCAATCTAAGAATTCCTTCGATATCTGTTTGTGTCTTATTCATAAAAA